GAATAACCCGCTGAAGTCGAATGCATTTTATAGGTGACCGACGGTCGAACATGAAATTCACAAAATTTCCAAAATTGGTTCTCCAACTCCGCGTTAATGTCGGAAGGCACTTTTCCCATGGATTTTAACATAATGAAACATTGTAACATAATGAAAAAGTGTGGGGGAAAACCCCTGTATCATTTGTATCCGGTACCGAGAAAGCATTGTGGAATAGACAAACTTCAGGTTCTGTTTTTAAATGTCTTCAGAATGTCTTGAACTCAAATTCTGTGGATATTCGAATGTTCAGGATCTGCTGTATCTGTGTAAATACTGCACTACTTAGAATTTTGGTATATTTTTAAGCTGGGCTGAACCGATTTCAATTTGGTTACCTTTTTTTCAAAACAAATTAGATTTTAACAAAAAGTACTTGACGTCTGTGCGGAGTGTAGCTCCATGTTTTCCGTAATTTTTGCAGAATTTGTTCTCCTACTTCGCCTGGATGTCGGAAAGCATTTGCCCATGCATTTTAAAATTTAAAAGGTCAAATATAACATGATCAAAGAACTTGAATCAGCTGTGTGTAAGCTGTCTTTCATCTTTCATGAGAAATCCCAGCATTTACACCAAGTTGAGTGCGTTGGAAGTGAGTGTGCAGGCAGCTCTTCAGCGCTATAATCCTATGAAAGTCTCTAAAGCTATTAAAATGTCGACAGTAAGAGGCACCAGTTATCGATGTTGAACTGTACTGTGCAAAAATTATTCCGAGCGATGATATGTGTCTAAGGATCTGTCAGAAGCACCATCATACGAATAATGCTGTCGAAATAACATCATCATAACACATTTTCGAAACATTTTGACGCATTTATTTATCGGTTGCTTTAGAAAGGATTCCATGTGAAATTTCCAAGATGTACAAAGTTTTATCCAATTTTATTGAATGCCATGGTGGTACTGTATAAGCAGGAAAGAGTTATTATTCTTCAGCAATAACCTTCGTACATCAGCCACAAAAATGTTGGTCGAAAGAAAATCGCAATCCACACAGGGAAGATTTATGTTGAAGCTACAATTAAATTTGATTTTCATTTAAATAAAATAGCTTTTAGGGATTGAAAATGATTTTCAGGAGACCCTCTTTTATTTTTGAGTAATTTTTAACTCCTTATTTTTGTCTGAATTCTGTGCACAGTATACACTTTTTCTTAGATTTTTGGAGTCATTATTTTGATGCTCAAACATCAGATTCTGTGTTGCTTTCTTCTGAAAATTTATATCCTGCGTTTTTAAGTTGAGAAAAACATTTTAATCAATTTTTCTGGGATTTATTCCTAATTTTTGATGAACTGTAGAACGAGTTGATTAAATTAGATCCCATTGAAGTCTATTGGAAATTCATTCAATCTGACATGTGGATGTTCCAATGCAGGGTCAAGCTAGGTCAGTGCATCAATTCTATGTACACATCTCAGGGTTTCATTGTACAGGTGGTATCTAGCAATTTGACCACCACACAATCCATCCATTCCACAATTCAACTGTCAAATTTGTTGGGAGGTTGACTTGCAATTCTACATCTGCCCAGCAATTTGACCTGCGTAAAGATGCAAAATGTCATATAACAGGCGGTACCTTGCAATTTGACTCTCCTGCAATTCCATGGTCAAATTTGCTGGGAGTTAGACTCTCAATTTGACCTCTGCTGCACAATTTGACCTGCGGAGAGACATGATACGTCAAATGCCATGTAGAAAACATGCCATTTGATGTTGCCTCACAATTCAACCGCTTTGCAATTCGACCCTAGTCCAGCAAAAAATTAGGGTAAAATTGTAATGTACCACTAGATGTACCATGTAGAAAAAATTAAATATGACGTCGTCTTACCATATGACAGCTTCACAATTGACCCTACTCCAGCAATGGATTAGGGTTGAATTTCAGGGCACTACCCGAACTCATTATTCTTGTTATTAATATATATTTTTTGCTAATTTCTAGGTTGGGCCGGCCGGATCTCAGTTTGGGCTGTTGGCGTGCTTGTTCGTCGAAGTGATAAACGTGTGGCCGATGCTGCGACACCCGCAGACGGCGCTGTACAAGCTCTGCGCCGTGACCATAGGGATGTTCCTGCTCGGGCTCCTGCCCTGGGTCGACAACTACGCCCACGTGTTCGGGTTCGTTTTCGGGTTCCTCTTATCCTATGCCCTGTTGCCGTTCGTGTCCTTTGGGCCGTACGACCAGCGCCGAAAGATCCTGCTCGTCTGGGTGTTCCTCGTTGCCGTCTGTCTCCTTTTCGCCATCCTCATCATCCTCTTCTACATCACGCCGTTCTACGAATGCGAAATCTGCAAATATCTCACGTGCATTCCCCTCGTCGACGACTTCTGCGCCGACCAGAACATCAACTTTGACAAGAAGCCGTTTTGGTCCATATAAAATGATTTTCTTTTTTTTAATGATGATGATGATGATGATGCGGACTCTTCGGGATGAGCTGTGCGAGAAGAAGAAGGATCCTGTTTCGCCGCACGTCACTTGATCAGAGTACGTTTCATTTTTAAATGTTTCTCTCACGAATTACAGTTGACAAAAATTGAGGGCTCGAACTGTATCCGTTTTTTTTTCATTGAGTAAAACATTTCAACTTTAATTCAAAGAGTCGTTTAGGTCCACGTGATGATATTTCTTCATGTAGATCGGAAACCCCAAGAGCCGCGCTTGATTATTTTTTTGAACTTTTGTTGAAATATTTATTTAAAAGATGACTTTGTTTTTTATAAGTAACGATTTATTCATCGAAGACGTATTCACTCTGCTGAAATTTATCTTGAAATATGCACTATATACTCGTAATCCCACTTCCTTTCGGTGGATGCAATGATGCGTGAAGGCCGCTTTTCCTGAGACGGTTTAAAAATCAAAAGAAAAAAATTAAAAGCAGCATTAATATCGAATATATAGTGATGAAATTGATCGTTTTGAATCCAGAAAACATGCGTAAGGCTGGTATATTTAATTTTTGTGTGAGTGTACTTCCAGCTCTTCTCTTTTTCTTTCTTCCCACCATCAATTTCTTCAATCGATGGTGGAAAAACTCTTCACAACGAAATTATCTCTGCGACGAATTTTCATGGACCTTCGAATTTCGTTGTAGAGAGTCCATCTGTATGTATATCCTTTTAACTAGATTCGAGTCGCAGAAAGAAAGGAAAAATTGAGAAAAATCAGAAGGTACGGTAGTTTTTATGTATTCAAAGAATGAATAAAAATAATTAACGTGGAGAAATAATTATTATTTCTCGATGTCCGAAACGAAGAGTTCGTTCATTTATTGCAGCAATGGCTCTATGTTAATTCCCTTTTCAAGATTAATTTCTGGGATGAAAAACAATGAACCTCTATAAGTACTGTATATGCTGAAGAATCGCTATCCACCCTAAAATTTCCTTTGGGAGCATCTTATTTCCGAATAATTGGCTAAAACAGAATCCTTCATATCGGAGTTCGTTTCTTCTCGTGTACTTCCATTACGCACTTCAGCCTCGTGCTTTTATTGGCGGTTCTCGTGAATTTTGCACATTTTGCACTTTTTTTTTTGCAGGTGAAGACGGCGCAGAAGACTTCTATTCCAGGTCGAGCAATCCCGTTTCTGTATTATTGGCGAAACCGAGGCATTCCAAGAGTTTGAATTCCCCGTCACGTCTTGCGGCTGTTTCCGCTCGGTCTTTCCGGTGTCTTCTGTTCGACCCCCCCTTGTGTGGACCCCGTGCCATGGCGGGGGTCGTTCAATCAAAGATAGCAAAAACGAACACTCGACGGATCGCGAGCATTTCGCATCTTGTCGTCGGACCCCAGTGTGACTTTGTCTCGATTTTTTTTATTATTATTATTGCATTTGGTTTGAATTTTTTTCGTTTCTTTTTTTTTGAAAAAAGAAAGAAAAAATGTCGGTGTGGCACGGTTGCGGTTGGCGAGGAAGAATAATATTTGAGGACGGCTGGTTCCTCTTTTTTTCGGTTCCGAAAGAAAAGAAGATGTTGTGACACCCTGAAATTTATCAGACGTTGTTCGATATGATGCGTCAAAGTAGGAAACCCGGGATTATGTGACAAGGACAAGAAGTTTTTGTTTTTTAAATCATTTGCGGACGCTCGGGAAAATGTAGTTGCTGCCAAATCGGGCTCGTTTTTCCTCGCCGTTGTTTGTTCTAAAATTTGAGTGACGTTTAAATTTTTTCTGACGTAGTTTTCATCATGAAGATTTTTGTGTCAAGATTTGATTCAATAAGGCCAGGTTAGGATACGCACCAACCAACCAACCGCAAGTGCCATCTCGTTGATGCATGGATGTGATTTGTATACCTATATCTTCAAAATGCATAATTTACATGGAACAAGCCGGGAAGGAGACGGAGAAAACCAAAAATGTTGAACAATTTCACTGTGTTGTCATTTCAATTGTTTTGAAAATATAGACATTTTTGACGTACGGGAACGCACGAAAGTACCATTACAGTCGTGCTGGCATCGCGTAATTTTCTCAAGTTTTCAGCATCTTGTTCAAACGATTATAGTCTTCTTGAACTGAATCCCAAAAATTTTAATCCGCAATTAAACCAAATGTTTTTTCTGCATGCGAATTACAAAGCACTCATGTTGTTGAGGATTCAAATGAAAAGAATAATCTCAACACAAATTAGATGAGAATTAAATAAAGGTTCAGGTGAGGTTTTGAGAAAGGGAATAAAAATGCGGAATCCGCCCGGGACAAGGCAGGGAATCTCCGGTCAGATTCCAAAAGAAAAGTTTAAAAATATATTTCGAAATATTACAAGTCCCAAAAAC